ATGGGTCTCTTGACTCGCAGGAGAACCTGGACGATGTGCCTATAGAACTGCGACACTTGGAGCCCGATGATCCGGCACTTCTGGATATTCCAGTCTCACCGGCACCGCCCCTGTATCCCGCCTCCGCTGCCACTGTGGTGCTTGGTGATCGTGAGAGTAAAGCCAAATCTAAGAGTCTAACAGACTTGGTGCAGGCATCGCCGCGGTCTCCGGGTAACCCTCTTGCTCCTTCAGGTTCATTTCTGGCAAGAAAAAAATCTATCAGTCGGGACGCTCTCGATTCGAAGCGAATTATTGAAGTGCCGAGCACTGTTTTGCGCTCAAAATCCAGCTCTTCTTGTTTCTCCTTGTCTAGTCACGATATTTCGATAGAACCTTCAAAGGTAGCTGTAGTTGGGAAGGGATCGTGTAAAGAGGGTGCTGGTGCAGACACGAAAGCCATTGTAGCGACTGAGAAGTGTGTGGATGATAGAGGCACTCCAGCTGTGAGTAGGAAAAGACCTACACTTAAAAAACAAAAGGCCTCTATAAATGAAAGTGATGGCAGTGATGTAGAAACACCTATAGTTATAGAGATAAGTAAAGCCCCAAAAACGTTGGAAACTGTCAATGTGCCTGTTGCAACCGATGATAAGGACCATTTAACTATTCCAAAAGGAATAGGCATAATAAAACAAAGCTCACTCAATGATGAATTTATATGTATAGATAGATTTTTAGAAAAAGAAAAGATTAAACAAAGTATTCAGAAACAAAGTTCGCTGAATGAAGACTTGATATATGGAAACAAAGAGGAAAAACAGGAAACTCTCAGAGAGTCATTATTCACGGCGCAATTTAAAAGACTTCAAAACATACGTGAGAGCTTTCAGAGGCTAAGAACCGCGAGCCTTGATCGATTCGAGAGAGAGAAAACGGACTCTTCCCTGAAAAAAGGTATTGTTAAACTTTTACAATCCTGGAAAAGCGAGATTCTTGTGACTAAGGAAAGCAAACCAACGTCTGGGGACGAGTGTGATCTAGAAGGTGACTGTGAAGAGTTCTCTGAAAAGGTTGGCGACACCGACTGTCAGCCAGACATGAAACACAACGAGGTGAGACCTGAAGCTCAAAGTATAAACCAGCTGGGAACTTCTGGTGACGGCAGCGATGCTCTCGCTGACAAGGTAAGGACGTGCGTGACGGAGAAAAAGTTTTTAGGGAAAGACCCGAGTGACAGAAAATCCTCCCGTGAGGAAAGTTCCGATAGTTCGAAAGAAAATAGTTTTCAGAGCGACACTAGTCTTGACTCTGAAGACAGTTGTGTGTCTGTGATATTTGTCCCTAAACCGGGTCAGGCTGGTGTTAATGGAATTGATAAGGAAAGAAACCGGTCTGTTTCTTCTGAATCATCAGAAGGTTCAGACAAACAGCATTCCCCAAAGTCACCAAAGTCGCCTAAATCGCCAAAGTCTCCGGGTCCTGGTGGCCGATACTTTGCTCCAGCACGTTATTTGGGAGCTAAAAGCGGGGTAAAGACAGGACCGAAAATGGGCACTCAAGTTCTGGGGGGGTCGACGAGATCTGACCACAGCAGCAGCAGCAGCAGCAGCAGCAGCAGCAGCAACGTGTCAGTCCTCCGTCAGACTCTCCACAGGAGATCCCAATAACAGTTTCAAGTCCTGTACCAACTCCTGAAGAGGCAAAATGTGATTCCACAAGTGGTCGTGAAGTACCAGCTATCCGCACCGTAGCTACAGCAGTGCCAAGGCCGTTGCCCACGCGCACTGGAGGCCTCGGTCGTGTACTGAACCATAGTGGTACAATACCTCCAAGCACACCACCACCAACCATGTCTTCACCCAGTAGTTCCTATTTCTCTCATATAACAGTTCCCAAAGCATTGCCCACAGAATCGTCGCCTTTGCTTGGGAAATCTAACTGTGAAGTGTCGTCTAGTCCAAAAAAATCTCCAACTTCCACTAAGCCAACTACCTCTGTAAAGGCTCCTACCTCGACGCCACCAGTAACCACTCATCAAACATCTACGCAAATGTCATCCCAGACGAGTAAATACATACCAAAATACGAGCCGCAAGTGGTGAAACGAGAAACAAGTTTTACACAACAAGTTTCATCACTTCTTCTGGGAGAAAACGTGGAGATAATTCGGAAGACTGGAAGCAGTGGGAGCCGTAACGTACAGATTGTGCGCAAGACTGTGCCGCGGTTCTTAACATTTGACGTGTTCAATCCAGAGACAGACGACCTTGACAGTGACTCTTCAGCCAGCTCCTCGCCCAACTCAGGTAGCTCTGTGATCGAGCGTGGCTGGCCCACTGAGAGAGACATCGAGGAACTAGATCGAGAGATAAAGCGTCGTGAAGAGGAAGAACGTCGTCGGCCCGTGCCTTCCCCAGGAGCGGCAGCTGCGGAGAGAGCCATACCGCCGCCTCCTGAGATGCCCAAATTATCCTTAGTCGAAGACGTTCACCGGATGGACACAATAAGTGAAGATGTTCGTGAACATTCAGGTAGGTTCCTCTTAACAATGTTGCATTCTAAACTAATTCTATATTACATAAATAACCCGCACATAGATACCTTATGGCGACTTGTACCTCTACTTGTACTTCTACTTGTACTTCTACTTGTACATCTACTTGTACTTCTACTTGTACATCTACTTGTACTTCTACTTGTACTTCTACTTGTACTCTACTTGTACAACTGTACTCTACTTGTATCTACTTGTACTTCTACTTGTACATCTACTTGTACTTCTACTTGTACTTCTACTTGTACTTCTACTTGTACTTCTACTTGTACTTCTACTTGTACATCTACTTGTACTTCTACTTGTACTTCTACTTGTACTTCTACTTGTACTTCTACTTGTACTTCTACTTGTACTTCTACTTGTACATCTACTTGTACTTCTACTTGTACTTCTACTTGTACATCTACTTGTAGTACTTCTACTTGTACATCTACTTGTACTTCTACTTGTACTTCTACTTGTACATCTACTTGTACTTCTACTTGTACTTCTACTTGTACTTCTACTTGTACATCTACTTGTACTTCTACTTGTACATCTACTTGTACATCTACTTGTACATCTACTTGTACTCTACTTGTACATCTACTTGTACATCTACTTGTACTTCTACTTGTACATCTACTTGTACTTCTACTTGTACTTCTACTTGTACATCTACTTGTACATCTACTTGTACTTCTACTTGTACTTCTACTTGTACATCTACTTGTACTCTACTTGTACTCTACTTGTATCTACTTGTACTTCTACTTGTACATTCTACTTGTACTTCTACTTGTACTTCTACTTGTACATTCTACTTGTACTTCTACTTGTACTTCTACTTGTACATCTACTTGTACTTCTACTTGTACTCTACTTGTACTTCTACTTGTACATCTACTTGTAGTACTTCTACTTGTACTTCTACTTGTACTTCTACTTGTACTCTACTTGTACTTCTACTTGTTACTTATCTACTTGTACTTCTACTTGTACATCTACTTGTACTTCTACTTGTACATTCTACTTGTACATTCTATTACTTGTACATCTACTTGTACTTACTACTTGTACTTCTACTTGTACTCTACTTGTACTTCTACTTGTACTCTACTTGTACTTCTACTTGTACATCTAACTTGTACTTCTACTTGTACATCTACTTGTACTTCTACTTGTACATTCTACTTGTACTTACATACTTGTACTTCTACTTGTACATCTACTTGTACTTCTACTTGTACATACTACTTGTACTTCTACTACTGTACTTTCTACTTGTACTTCTACTTGTACATCAATGTCTCACAATTACTAGACTTCTACATTGTAACATTAAACATGTCCTCACTTGTACATCTACTGAATTACTTTATTTAACTAAGTATTTTACTGTACTTTATTGACTTAAATTGTTAGATCTACTGACATCATACTTTACAGTTACGCATGTATATTGCACTTTCTTCTAGCTGTACTTCTACTCTTACTTACACTATGTACATAAATTTATTCTATTGTACATCTACTACTCTGGTACTTATGTCTCTATTGTTTCTACGTAATTATTGTAGTCACTTCTAATCTTGATTTACCTACTGTACTTCTACTTTACAGTCCTATTGAACTCTATTAGTAATCTACGTACTTCTCTGTAATAATTATTAACCTATTCTACATATTGTACTTTACTGTACTCTATTGACTTCTAACGTTGTACACTACTTGATCATGTACTCTATGTTATACTGTCGTACTTGTACTCCAACTTGAATACTTGTATCTACTTGTACAGTTCTTTCTACGCTATGATACTTTTTAGTACATGTATTGTACTTATTGTAATTATTGTACTTCTACTTGTACATTAATATGTGACTATTCTACTTGTAATCTATTGACTTCTACAATGTACATCAACTTGACTTGATTGAATCACTTGTACATCACTTAAATATTCTCAGTTGCTCTATTGTAATACAATAGTATTATGTAAATCACTGTACTATAACTAGACAGTCAAACGTGTACTTGCTACAAGTGGCTCTATTAGTATTTATTGTACGTTACTAAGCTCTAGGTGTGTAACATAGCTACTTAATAACTTCTATTGTATCACTGTACATCTACTGTGTTTTACTCACTTTATTGATCACTGTACACATTGCTACTTACGTTTCTCTTATGTATCTCTGTACGCTAGATTTATCACTGTGTTTTTCTAGTTTCATTATTTTGTGGTTAAATGTACGTTTTTATACGTTAATACTATTTGGAGAAAAATGGGAAACGTAGGATGGTTTACGTTGGATAAAATGTCAATTATTGACGTTATAAATTAAGAATGACTTGATGTGGAAAAAGACACTTATGTACGGTTCAGGACATTTATTAAAGGAAACGTTTCGCCACGAGTGGCTTCTTCAGTCCTAATACTGAGAAAACTAAGAAAACGTATATATAGTGGCAGGAGTCAGGTGAGGTGACGCGTGGGTAGAGGTGGTAGTAGTAGTAGTAGTAGTAGTAGTAGTGGAACTAAGGAGGTGATGCTAGAGAGGGACTACTACTACTACTACTACTACTACTACTACTACTACCACCACCTCTACCCACGCATCACCTCACCTGACTCCTGCCACTATATATATACGTTTTCTTAGTTTTCTCTGTATTAGGAATGAAGAAGCCACTCGTGGCGAAACGTTTCCTTTAATAAATGTCCTGAACTGTACATCAGTGTCTTTTTCCACATCTTGTCGGTATCACCATACCATTTCCCCTTGTGTGGGATACTTGTACATCCATATTTGTCTGCTTTCTCATTGTTTGCCTCCTCATTGTCCGCCTCCATATTGTCTGCCCCTCATTGTCTGTCCCTCATTGTCTGTCCCTCATTGTCTGCCCCTCATTGTCTGTCCCTCACTATGTACCCCTCATTGTCTGCCTCCACATTGTCTGCCCCTCATTGTCTGCCCCTCATTGTTTGCCCCTCATTGTCTGCCCTCTCATAGTCTGCCTCATTATCTGCCCCTCATTGTCTGCCCCCTCATGTCTGTCCCCTCATTGTCTGCCTCATTATCTGCCCCTCATTGTCTGCCCTCTCATAGTCTGCCTCATTATCTGCCCCTCATTGTCTACCCCCTCATGTCTGTCCCCTCACTGTCTGCCTCCTCATTATCTGCCCCTCATTGTCTGCCCCTCATTGTCTGCCCTCATTGTCTGCCCCTTGCTCATTGTCTGCCTCATTATCTGCCCCTCATTGTCTGCCCTCTCATTGTCTGCCCCTCATTGTCTGCCCCCTCATTGCCTGTCCCTTCATTGTCTGCCCCTTCATTGTCTACCCTCATTGTCTGCCCTCTCATTGTCTGCCTCACTGTCTGCCCCTTCATTGTCTTCCCCTCATTGTCTGCCTCTCATTCTCTAACTCAGCCAGTGACCCAACATCTCAAGGTATGGGAAGCACTGAATGACTCACACTGGTTTATTGCTCGGCAGATCTCTCAGCTTTTATCAAAATTTCATTGTTTCAACAGGAATGGAATTAAATGGAGTCAGAGGAGATAGGAGGAAGGAATGTAGAATGCCAGGATCCCTGCCTTTAGTGGGTAAATCACAGTCAACCTTGCCGGCCTCGAGGTCCACCTCCGTCACCAGGACATACGTCGAACAGTCCTCTTTAGGTAATGTATATCACTAGAATACAGAAGCATACAAGGTCTATCTAAAATACGTTCCGTTTAGAAGGCCTGCAAGATCAACTGCTGAAAGAGAACGTAAAAGAATGTACATAAAAATTGCTTAAAGACAAATATAAGCGATAACAAAGACAGCCTAGTCAACTCAGAGAGGTATACCTCGACAAACACTTCAGTATACCCAGTTTATGCTGTACCCGGTGAGAATAAATTTAAAATATAATCTTTTTAATAACAAATTATTCTAGATAACTGAGGAACATGCGAGTATAAAAGTAAGACTCACTAATGTGAATGTGAGGCTTATCATGATCTCTTTCGCGATACACACTCCCTCACTAGGATATACGTTGTGAAATATATTTAATGGCACATAACTTTAGTCACGAGTGGGTGTTATAACGTGTTGTGTGTTCAACTTCTAGGCTCTGCTTCTCGCCCTGAACATATCACAGTGACTGTGATATATCACAGTATATTTTCCAAGATTATACTGTGATATGTCATATCAGTGTTATATTACACAAATAACCCGCACATAGAAGAGAGGAGCTTACGACGACGTTTCGGTCCGACTTGGACCATTTACAAAGTCACACTGTGACTTTGTAAATGGTCCAAGTCGGACCGAAACGTTGTTGTAAGCTTCTATCTTCTATGTGTGGGTTATTTGTGTATCGTTCTAGTCACGGTATTGTGCCTTTTTTTTTTTGTTATTAATGTTATACTCTTACTCATTTGCTTAAGATTATCTTAAACGTTTCACACATTATTTATATATATTGAGACTCCAATATCTTGTTTATGAGAAACAGAGCTGCTGTAACACCTTGAGATCAAGTATCTAGTTTCTATTTGTTTACGAAGATAGAGTGTGGTGAATGCTACCATTGGACCTCTAGCTAGAATTTATGGAGAGAAGGAGGTCTTTATAAGCTTAGGCAAAATTGCTAAGGAGAGGGACTTTAGGAGGATCTCTGGCCGGGTGCAGAGTTGGATGTTCAGTGTGAAAACTCGATGGGGAGCTGTGGCCGGTGCAGAGCTGGAGGCGCAATGTTATAAGGACTTGTGAGGTCTTGGGACCTGGAGTTAGGAACTTGACTGGTCTTCTAGGTCTGATCCACTAATGTCTCTATTTTATACTGTAAGTGCATAATTAATTTCGTAAGCTAATTGTATCTTCCCAGTAATCTTAGTATCAGATACCTTCTTCTTTGTCACTGTCTCCACTATTGACGCAGATACATAAAAAATTGTGAACCGGTATTAATTGATGTTATTACACAGGTATGTCAAGGCGTGAGATAGAGTCGCTAAGACAGAGGTCAACTAGCGTCTCTGGTGCAGGAGTGTCTGAAGTAGATAAGAAGTTAGAGACGCTATCAAAAGTGCGCACATCATCGCCGTCCTCACTGTCTCCAGCCAGCAGCAGTTCGCCCACTTTTGACTCCCCCGCTGAGCCTCTCCTGAAAAGGAGCCCTAAAGCAAGACGGAAGCTCACTATAGCTCACCTAGACCAATTATTGCCTTTACAACCTACAGTAGAACATAAATCAGAGCCAAAGAGACCTTCCAGAAGTCCAGAGTCTTTGTTGGAAAGACAGAGTTTCAGAAGTCGTGTCCCTGACCGCCATCAACAAAGCAAAGCTCTCTCACCACTGGGGTCGGAGGTTATTGGTCGAGGCGATATGAAGCCTTGGGCCGAAGTTGCCATTAAGCCTATAACTGAAACAGTTAATCTTCCACCACCTACGTCTTGGAGAGGAAAATTTTCTCCGGAAGGAATTCTCAAGGGTATTTCAGAATTTGACAAAACCTCAGGACAGAAGAAGAGTCAAGAAGCCAAGAAAAGTGCATTGGAGTTGCCCTTTACTTCTCCGTGTAGGTCTTCCCTCTCTCCGAGCAGTAGCGTTTCTTCAACTTCTCCATCAATTCCCCGAGAACTGGGAAGAGAGGATCCACTCTCTAGAAGTCCCCTTCTCAGCTCTCCAACGCTGTCGACCAGCAGTGGTGATTCTCGTTCTGGTTCACATGCAGCGATATCTTTTTTTCGAGAAAGTCCATTTTCCTTTGATATGTTCAGAATGAATCGCAGTGAAAGTAGCTTACCATTGTTAAGTCTAGAAGAATCACAACCCAATCATGGCACTTTCAAAGAGCCAGCAAAGCCTGTTGTGCTCAGAGAATCTAAACGAAGTTGTAGAGTAAAATCTGAACCAGAAGAAACAAAAGAAGCTAAACAGCGCAGCAGTCGCATATCTTGTCATTATCCTTCCAAAGAAGGTGAGATCAGTAAAGATGAAGGTCCTAATAAACAAAGAAGATCTCATACTAACTCCTTGAAGGTAAGAATAGAAGACAGTAAGCAAAAAGATAATGGAACTGGGAAAAAGAGCACATGCCGCTTGTGTGCACGGGAAAACGATAAAAGACAGAAGAAAAAGAAACAAGAACAGCTGGCAAGTGTACTTGGATCTAAGGAACAGCAGTTTGGACTAAGCACCAAGAGACGAGTAACGAATCAGGGAAAGACAGATGGTTTTCGAAGAGGAGAGCTCAAGTCCCAGGGCTCCCTGGATTCAGCCAGAGAGAAAGAATCTGCAGCCTCGAAGTCCTCTCCTCCTCTGGTCCGCAGCGGATCGTTAGACTTGGAGAAAGCAGAACGAAACCAGAAGGAAAGTAGACTGAGTCGAGACGCATCGTTGTCAACATCGCAGGACTCTCTCCAGAGTGACGTTGGCGGAGCACCTACACTACATCGTATTACCACGTCTTCCGCGAGGGAGAGCTCGATCAGCTCATTGAAAAGTACGTGCACAACCTACACATTATCTCGTCTTACTACGACCACGCGAACTGGTGTGTTATTGCGGAGAAAGTGCAAGTGTGGACTATATGAGGGACGATGCTCATCTCTTATGTAGCTGAAGGTAAAATGAATTGACTTTGCAAGTAAACAAACTGTACATTGTTGGACAAAAAAAAAACAGACTTATAACCTAAACTCTACTTAAATAAACTTAGACTAAGAGGCAACCGTGTTGCACATAAACTTTGTATAAGACAGTGTTTCACAGTGATAAGCATTAATGATTACATACAAATCTATGTTCATAATTCACAGATGTTATTTTGTTTTCAGGTTGATTCCTGGTCACGTAAAATAGTGTAGCCACTTGGGCCGTCACAAAGGAATAGATTTTTGTCTGCTCTGTTTATGAGTTGCCTAAACATATCCAAACATTCTATTGTTTATCGATGTTTTAGATGTTTAATGACGGGAGTCTAACATATCTGATTTACGCTGGAACACTGAAGAAATATTTAATGTGGATTTCAAACATATCTTATTGCAGTGAAATCAAGAATACATATATTTATAGATACATAATACATATAAATATATATTTATCAGATTTGTTGTTTTGTAAAAAAAATGTAGAATGGTAAAGATTGGAGTTTGGAGATGGTGTTTCCTGCCTATGGTAGATAGATGCTACCATGTAGTGATCTACCACAGTAGATAGATGCTACCATGTAGTTATCTACCACAGTAGATAGATGCTACCATGTAGTTATCTACCACAGTAGATAGATGCTACCATGTAGTTATCTACCACAGTAGATAGATGCTACCATGTAGTTATCTACCACAGTAGATAGATGCTACCATGTAGTCATCTACCACAATAGATAGATGCTACCATGTAGTCATCTACCACAATAGATAGATTCTACCATGTAGTCATCTACCACAATAGATAGATGCTACCATGTAGTCATCTACCACAATAGATAGATGCTACCATGTAGTATCTACCACAAATAGATCTACCAAGTTATCTACCACATAGATAGATGCTGCATTTTACTACACGATAGATAGATGCTACCATGTAGTCATCTACCACAGTAGATAGATGCTACCATGTAGTATCTACCAAGTAGATAGATGCTACCATGTAGTCATCTACCAATAGATAGATGCTACCATGTAGTCATCTACACGAGTAGATAGATGCTACCATGTAGTCATCTACCAGAGTAGATAGATGCTACCATGTAGTCATCTACCAGAGTAGATAGATGCTACCATGTAGTCATCTACCAGAGTAGACAGATGCTGCCATGTAGTCATCTCAAGTAATAGTGCACTGTGTCACTCAGTAGCAGATGCTGCCATGTAGTCATCTCTTATGGTGATGTGAGATGGCTGCCTCAGACGTAACACTGAACTCTTAGTAACAAGTCATGCCAGTGTGTGTGTGTGTGTGTACTCACCTAATTGTGGTTGCAGGGGTTGAGTCACAGCTCCTGCTCCTGTATATCTGAGTGTGTGTGTGCGAGAAGAGAGAGAGTAGAAGCAACACAGCTTGTGTGGATGTCTTACAATGTTTCATTTACATATTTGTCTCTCATTACTGCAACATTATTCAAATTGTCACTATTGTGACATATCATCAATTATTTTCTATATAAATAACTAACTGAGTTATTTTTTTCAATTGAGTATTCAAAACTAATTCCAATTTTGAATTAAACAATAGATAAAAAAAATAAATTAGAATGCATTGTTGATTCTAGCAGCAGCCAACCACATAATACCACGCATGTGTATCCCTTTGGGTGCATAGATATATATATATGATATATATATATATATCTATATATATAATGATATTATATATACTATTATATATACATATAGTTATAGATATATATAATATATATTATATATATATATAATATACCATCGATAGGTTTATATATCTCAATGTATATACACATTGAGAGTGTACATTAATTCCTCTTTCATGGATTAAAAGATTCTTGGTGTTAGTGTACCTGTGATCTGCTGCCTTAATGACCCTCCAGAAGTTAATGACCCTCGAGCTGTTAATGACCCTCGAGCTGTTAATGACCCTCGAGCTGTTAATGACCCTCGAGCTGATAATGACCCTCGAGCTGTTAATGACCCTCGAGCTGTTAATGACCCTCGAGCAGTTAATGACCCTCGAGCTGTTAATGACCCTCGAGCTGTTAATGACCCTCGAGCAGTTAATGACCCTCGAGCTGATAATGACCCTCGAGCTGTTAATGACCCTCGAGCAGTTAATGACCCTCGAGCTGTTAATGACCCTCGAGCTGTTAATGACCCTCGAGCAGTTAATGACCCTCGAGCTGATAATGACCCTCGAGCTGTTAATGACCCTCGAGCTGTTACTAACCCTCGAGCAGTTAATGACCCTCGAGCTGTTAATGACCCTCGAGCAGTTAATGACCATCGAGCAGTTAATGACCCTCTAGCTGATAATAACCCTCGAGCAGTTAATGACCCTCGAGCTGTTAATGACCCTCGAGCAGTTAATGACCCTCGAGCAGTTAATGACCCTCGAGCTGTTAATGACCCTCGAGCACTTAATGACCCTCGAGCTGATAATGACCCTCGAGCTGTTAATGACCCTCGAGCTGTTACTGACCCTCGAGCAGTTAATGACCCTCGAGCTGTTAATGACCCTCGAGCAGTTAATGACCATCGATCAGTTAATGACCCTCTAGCTGATAATAACCCTCGAGCAGTTAATGACCCTCGAGCTGTTAATGACCCTCGAGCTGTTAATGACCCTCGAGCAGTTAATGACCCTTGAGCAGTTAATGACTCTTGAGCAGTTAATGACCCTCGAGCTGATAATGACCCTCGAGCTGTTAATGACCCTCGATCTGTTAACGACCCTCGAGCTGTTAATGACCCTCGAGCAGTTAATGACCCTCGAGCAGTTAATGACCCTCGAGCTGTTAATGATCCTCGAGCTGTTAATGACCCTCGAGCTATTAATGACCCTCGAGCAGTTAATGACCCTCGAGCTGTTAATGACCCTCGAGCTGTTAATGACCCTCGAGCAGTTAATGACCCTCGAGCTGTTAATGACCCTCGAGCTGTTAATGACCCTCGAGCAGTTAATGACCCTCGAGCAGTTAATGACTCTCGAGCTGTTAATGACAATCGAGCTGTTAATGGCATTCGAGCAGTTAATGACCCTCGAGCTGTTAATGACCCTCGAGCAGTTAATGACCCTCGAGCTGTTAATGACCCTAGAGCTCTTAATGACCCTTGAGCTCTTAATGACCCTCGAGCAGTTAATGACCCTCGAGCTGTTAATGACCCTCGAGCAGTTAATGATACTCGAGCAGTTAATGACCCTCGAGCAGTTAATGACCCTCGATCTGTTAATGACCCTCGAGCAGTTAATGACCCTCGAGCAGTTAATGACCCTCGAGCAGTTAATGGCCCTCGAGCTGTTAATGACCCTCGAGCAGTTGATGACCCTCGAGCTGTTAATGACCCTCGAGCAGTTAATGACCCTCGAGCTGTTAATGACCCTCGAGCAGTTAATGACTCTCGAGCAGTTAATGACCCTCGAGCAGTTAATGACCCTCGAGCTGTTAATGACCCTCGAGCAGTTAATGACCCTCGAGCTGTTAATGACCCTCGAGCAGTTAATGACCCTCGAGCTGTTAATAACCCTCGAGCAGTTAATGACCCTCGAGCTGTTAGTGACCCTCGAGCAGTTAATGACCCGCGAGCAGTTAATGACCCTCGAGCTGTTAATGACCCTCGAGCAGTTAATGACCCTCGAGCAGTTAATGACCCTCGAGCTGTTAATGACCCTCGAGCAGTTAATGACCCTGGAGCTGTTAATAACCCTCGAGCAATTAATGACCCTCGAGCTGTTAATGGCCCTCGAGCTGTTAATGACCCTCGAGCAGTTAATGACCCTCGAGCTGCTAATGACCATCGAGCAGTTAATGACCCTCGAGCTGTTAATGACCCTCGAGCAGTTAATGACCCTCGAGCTGTTAATGATCCTCGAGCAGTTTATGACCCTCGAGCTGTTAATTACCCTCGAGCAGTTAATGATTCTCGAGCTGTTAATGACCCTCGAGCAGTTAATGACCCTCGAGCAGTTAATGACCCTGACCTCGAGCAGTTAATAACCCTCGAGCTGTTAATGACCCTCGAGTTGTTAATGACCCTCGAGCAGTTACTGACCCTCTAGCTGTTAATGACCCTGGAGCTGTTAATGACCATCCAGCAGTTAATGACCCTCGAGCAGTTAATGATCCTCGAGCTGTTAATGACCCTCGATCTGTTAATGACCCTCGAGCAGTTAATGACCCTTGAGCAGTTAATAACCCTCGAGCTGTTAATGATCCTCGAGCTGTTAATGACCCTCGAGCAGTTAATGACCCTCGAGCAGTTAATGACCCTCAAGCTGTTAATGACCCTCGAGCTGTTATTGACCCTCGAGCTGTTAATAACCCTCGAGCTGTTAATGACCCCTTGAGCAGTTAATGATCTTCTTGCAATTAATGACCTAGCAGTTAATGACCCTCGAGCTGTTAATGACTTCTTGCAATTAATGACCTTGAAGTTAATGACCCTCGAGCTGTTAATGACCTTTTTGCAATTAATGACACCTTGAGCAGTTAATGACCTTGTAATTAATGACCCCTTGAGTAGTTAATGACCTTGCAATTAATGACCCCTTGAGCAGTTAATGACTTTCTTGCATTTAATGACCCCTTGAGCAGTTAATGAACTTCTTGCAATTAATGACCTTTGCAGTTAATGACCCTCGAGCTGCTAATGACCTTTTTGCAATTAATGACCTTGAAGTTAAAGACCCTCAAGCTGTTAATGACCTTTTTGCAATTAATGACCTTGAAGTTAATGACCCTCGAACTGTTAATGACCTTTCAATTAATGATCTTGCAGTTAATGACCTTGAAGTTAATGATCCTCTTGCATTAATGACCTTCTCGCAGTTAATGACCTTGCAGTTAATCTTCTTGCAGTTAATGACCTCGCAGTTAATGACTTTGCAGCTAATAACCTAATTGCTGTTAATGAGCTTATTGCAGTTAATGACACTCTTGAAGGTAATGACCTTGCAGTTAATGATCTTCTTGCAGTTAATGACCCTCATGCAATTAATATGCCTTATTAAACCTAAGAACCTGACCTAGACGTGTATCAGTATGTATCAATAATACAGCGCTGTGTCATGTATGAAAACAATGTATGAAAACTTAATGCGGCATGTATAATGTATGAATTAGCTTTATGCATTGTGTCCAAACACCTTTAGTATGGTATGTATCATTAGTATGATATGCGTCAGTATGGTATGTATCATTACTATGATTTGCGTCAGTATGATATATATCATTAGTATCATTTGCGTCAGTATGGTATGTATCATAGTATGATTTGCGTCAGTATGGTATTATCATTAGTATATTTGCGTCAGTATGATATATATCATTAGTATCATTTGCGTCAGTATGGTATGTATCATAGTATGATTTGCGTCAGTATGATATATATCATTAGTATCATTTGCGTCAGTATGATATATATCATTAGTATCATTTGCGTCAGTATGATATATATCATTAGTATCATTTGCGTCAGTATGATATATATCATTAGTATCCGTCAATATTGCCGCGTCAGTATGATATATATCATTAGTATCACTTGCGTCAGTATGATATATATCATTAGTATCATTTGCGTCAGTATGGTATGAATTATTAGTATCATTTGCATCAGTATGGTATGATCATTAGTTGGTAGTATGTATTCTAGTTCACTATGAGTCAGTATGTTATATATACCAGTGTCACTGATTATTCATGTTCATCGCAGTGTTTCATCATTAGGTTTGGTCTTAAGTCTGATCACTTGCGTCTGTTATTATACATGTATCATTTCCT